TCTGTGAATCTGTGAATCGGGGCCGCACCGATGTCCCTACACTGATGTAGGGACTGGCTTCTCTTGTACTCTGTCACCACTGAGATTTCTCCTCTCCAGGGACAGCGGTCATGTGAAGAGGTGTCCTACATGGAATGGTGCCAAAGACAAGAGCTACAGACACCATTTTCAGAAGTGCCAGTCTGCGAGGGATTGTGCAAACGCTGGTACTGATCACACACATGGCCTGAACACAAGCCAACTTACTTAAAATACATAAAAATAGGCCTATGGGTTCATTGGATTTGTGTGCACTCCACAGGATCACTAACACGATATCAAAATACAATCCACTGAGGACAACTCTAGTGATTCCAAAGCCTGGCAAGAAGACAAGACCACTAGAATAGGTATTTCTTGTTTGAGAATTATTTTCTATCACTATTCGAATCCTAGAACTGCACTAAGCTTACTTAAGCTAGGATTTTCAGGAGCTGCAATTTGCTGGCACCAAAGCACTTCATTTGAAACCCAACTTTCATGACAATGCCTGCTGAAAGTACTCCCTACCCCTGCACTCCCTCAAAAAAGAATGAAAAGAAGATTGGAAAAGGGAGGAAAAATAACTAAACTAACTTCTATAATAGGGGAGAAAAAAGCAAGATAATTGAGTATTGGATTACCTGTCAGTCTATCTTAATACATTTTTTACAGGTTCTAATAAATATGAAGTTGCTTTCTTTGCCACTATATGATTTTATCACTCTTCAGTTACATTTGATTCATGACAGAAAAATAATGTAATCATAGGAAAAGGCAACACAGAAAGAATTTCCACTGTAAAGTTGGAGCTGATTAGTCACTACTAGATTTTCYTTATCAATTCATATAAATGCCATAGAGTTTTGGAGATCTTAAAAACAAGGTGGAGGGGGAAGGCCTGAATATATATTTTAAGAATGAAGTATAGAGTAGTTTCAGRAAAATAAAGTTAGCATTCCCATTAGCAAAGCACATGAAGAAAATATTTTTGGGTGAAAACCTTCTGAGAGATGTTTTAACTAATATGAGAACCCTCAAAGTTTCCTAARAATTTTGTCAAGTGCTAGCAAATGCTTACCAACAAGAACTGATATTTTCAAATGACAGTTAAGTACATCTCCAAAAGGGGTAGCTGCATAAAAGTGTCTTATCCCCTCTCTTCTTTGGTTCATTCCAGTCATGACTCCTCTCCAACACCATTCTCACTTTTCTTCCGCTGATTGTCCCAGCAGGAACAAATAGGCAAAGCAAAATACAGCATGGGGAATTATCCCATTCAAAAGACTGTGTATCAGACTGCGAAATTCCTTCTTTGGGCTTTTACAATCAGCCCTGAAATAATTCAAAAGCTCTGAAATTCAAAAGCAAAACCTGCAGATGTATGAGCTATTCTTAACAAATACAAGAAAAGACTTACCCAAACCCCTGGCGGAAAATTTCACACTCAATCCACCTTTACAACCATTAAACAGTATTTTTTTCTGTATGATTTTATGTATAGAGTACTACCAATAGTGGAAAAAATGAAGAAAAATATAAATATGACAATAGTTTGAAAAYAAAATTCTCATGACAGGCATAAGATACTTAAGCAGAAAAAAATAAGAAGAGGAAATTGTGGTTTTAAAGAATAAAATGTTTGAGGAGGGGCACATGGGACAGCATACATGTGAAACMTTTAACCTATTTTTAAAGTGACTGACTTTCAAGCTGATGCCTTTTGAAAGACTTTTGAAACACTTTCTGAAGTAACACCAATAATACAGGAAAATATATCCCTTTATTCTTTGTGCCCCCTGAATTTCACATTCTTAAATCTTCATCAGACTCTCATTTCTTCAAGAAAGTTTGTTTCAAATATACCTACATTTCTCATGTATCTATATATCCAAAGGATGGGGGGATTTTCTCTTCAGCTGGTTATTTTAACCATCAAGTCTCAGTATCTAGTTTATGCATATCAAATTCTCTTTTGTAGGTTTATATAATACAAAAATATCTACTCGTCACATTTTGACTCATCAATACATTTATTCACCCCTCATTTACCAGAAGTCCCACGGGGGTATTATTTTTTGTCTTTCCATTTTCAGGTTTAGCAACCTCTTTGCTGATACAAATCATTTAACTCTAAATTAAGAGAAATACGAATAATAACATTCTTGTATTTTATCCTACTCTTTGTATTAGTAGCACCTTTGTGTTTCAGCTCACTCAATGACAAAATAYGGTTTCTACACACATTGTTGTTTTTAAATTATAGTAGCTACGTCCTACTTGCATCCATTCAGGTGCCTCCAAACTTCTCCTTGTTCTAAGAACTGGTTCTATACCCCTGGAACATCCCACAATACTGTAGGGTAATGAATTTCTAAACTTAGAAAAACAACTAAACATCTAATGATATACTCTTCTTTTAAATGGAGATGTAAAACTATACCTTTTCTTGAGTTATGGGCCAAAAAGTTGGAAATAAGTTCTCTCACCTCTAATACCAGATGCAGAGAAAGTCTGTAACAGGAACCCTGTTGTTGACAACACATGACTCTGTATCATTGCAAACATCTTGATTTGATAAGGTACTAGAAAGAATAAAAACACTTAAAACTTTGCTTTTTTGAGAGCTAAGAAAGTTTGGTTTGCAGGCTTATAGAAGACAGCATTGCTATGTCTAAGAACCCGACATAAGAAATGACAGTATCTCTCGACAGTAATTCAACAGAATGGGCAATGAACAAGTGATACAAAATTCACCTTACTTAAAAATAAAATAAATACTACAAAGCTGATGTGGTGACTACAGGGTGTAACTATAAGAACAAGCAGTASAACTACCAATACAATAATACACTAAAAAGTTTGAACTGTTTGCATCTAGTACCGCTATGGGCATTGCTACRGGCTACTCCTCTTCAACAGGAAGTCGCAGGGTACTGAGCCTTGCGATCAGAAAAGAAGCTTAGAGGCTTGTGCAATGCTGAACAGGAAACCCCAACAGTATCATGGGCGAGATTACCATCTCTGCAACTCGGCTGCACTCGAGCTGCTGCATTTTAATCATCCTAAGGGCTAGAACAAAAAGGAATGAGAAACGGCAACGCATCTGTAAAAGGCACGTGGTGGAGTCTGGCCAGGAACAACAGTTGGACCCAGGACACTTAGTGACCTCACAGAAGAGATACAAATACATGTATTGAATTAAAATTGGTGCCATTACTCTTTAAATATGATATATGCAAAAATAAGGGTTAAAAATATGAA